GAAGTATTGGAATTATTGTATCAGATATTTATATGAATACGGATTGCTATACAAAATGTTTTAGTGAGGCTGATATGGTAATCTACTAAAATTGTCATGCTGATCATAGTGTACATCGTCATGCCTTTCTGAACCCAGGTAGTTAAGCAGATGAACAATGCTCTGAATGTTCTGCGTGAACATGCAAACTTCAGTGCTATGTTCTAGCATTTGCATTCTATTATGGAACTCACTACCCTGTAATAATAATCATGATACTCTTTGCAGGATACGTACTTGAAAGAAGCATGATATGTCCCATTTCCATCCCTCTACTTCCTGTCGCGTGCCACGTAACATCTTTTTCAGTGCATTGAAGAGAAACGACCACCTGCAAGTCTTCAGTCTCCCTGTCTGCATTGTCAAGAAAGATGACACCAGATGAAGCAGATGCAGTTGTGATTGGATTCCGTTCCCCAGAGAATCTACCCACCATAGGTATGTCACAATCCTTATAAACACATTTGCCCTTAATCTGCTTCAGTGATCTCGAGAATTACATCACATTGTTGTCTGCCATCTTACCAAAGCGAATGTGAGCATTCACTTCTTCTTAGAGCGAAGCATCATCTCATCTTGGATGTGTTTTTTGACTGTGGCCAGGCTGTCTTTCGAATTACCACATAAATCCAGCATCAACTCATCTTCCAGCCATTTCCACTGCATGTGAAAGTGAAGGCTTGGTTGCATGGCGACTGAACAAGCCCCTCATTGATTCTTGTGCAGATGCAATCTCTCTCAACCGCTTGAATATATTGAAAGGCATATCAGCATAATAACTGAAGAAGAGGAAATGAAATGTGTGTGGGGTTTCATTCTTTTGCTCCCCTGCATATAAGCCAACAACATCCGCATCTTTAGGTTGGTCAGATGGGAAACGACAAGAATAGCGGTATTTCTTTTCTTTACTCTCCCACTCTTTCGTGAGTTGCTAGGTGCTGCTATCCCATGTGATGTCAAGGTGGTTCTTGGCTTGCAATGTAATTCTTTTACTGACATCTTCCAAATAGGTTAGCGATCATTTCTGTTTCTGTAATTCTTGAAGAAATGAATTCCTGGCACTTTGTTTATCACCCAACATGTCATGTCCGATCAATTAGCAGCAAGATGCAAGACCAGAGACTAACAAATATTACATGGTTCAACGCAGTCAGAAACACACAAAGAATCTGATCAAGACATATGTTACGGCATTAGAATATATTAACTCCTCAACTAAAGTATTTGTTTATGATGCACAGGTGCAGTATGGCTGCTTGTCTGCCCAACAATCTACCACTCTCTATGGTGGTTTGCTGGATCTGCACATATATGTTTTAGGTGATGTAGGAGTGTGCACATGTTGATAATGGCCCTTGAGTACATATGGTCAGCAACTCACATCTTGGAGTGATCTCAATGGCAAGATGTTCTGCAGAACAGAAAGATTCCAAAGTATTATATAGTTGGGGTTCCTTCAAGAAACACAAAGAAGTTGTGTATATGGTCAAGCTGTGGCCAACCTGGTATGTCTCTTTCTTAGCTCTACTAACTTAAGATTCACCATGATGCGCAGGTCCTGCATGTGGTTGTCACTCTAATATCATATTTGTCACATTTTATATCTAAATACCATTTGATCAAACCTCCACAAATATGTTTCTTAGAATTTACTATTTAAGAGAACATAATGTGTCATGTCCTCTTTTTATTAAGCTTATTTATGTCCTTGAGAGAGCTTATTCATGAGTTTACATCGCGGCTGCTCGCAGGTCTAAGTGAATTGAGGTTAGCCATATTCCAACATGGCTCTTTAAAAATTGAATTATGTAACAAAGATCACGTTTAACACCCAAAAAAAGTTTGAGCTGTGGTGAGCCATGATGAATCAAAATATTAAGCTCAGGTTGTAGAAGTATTTTTTGCAAGTTATTAGAAGCATTTTCCTGAAATTCTTACATTTATGCTTATTAAATATGGTTTGAAACAGACACATATTTTTAGAAGCAACACTGAAAAGAATATGGAAAAAAATTATTGTCAATCACTATTACGGGAAATGGGAAACAATATAGAGTACATTGTAACTCTTTTACACAATTGATACAATATACAGTCATTAGCAGTTCCTCTAAAATGCAGATGCTAATGAGGGCATGCGATCAAAAAGG